CCACCACCGGCACCACCACCGTTGAATTCTTCCATGCAATCTAGACTCGCTATAGGTGCACGGCAGCTGCGCGTATAAAATATATGGAGTATTAATAGAACACGATCGATAGAATACTCGATACAACCATGTAAACATTTACAACTAACATTTATAGCATTTTATGAAATTCTTATCATTCATCTATGATACGCTTAAATTAAAAATTCATAGATCTATAAACATTTTTCCTTTTCATTATATATATATATAGTCGTTACGAATTGATTTCATATTATCTTATCGCTTTTCCCATATATCGAGAATCCAATTTCGAAAAAAAATTTTATCATAACGAAATAAAATTCTTAGATTCGAAGATCAAATATAATATGTAATATTTACTATTATCATTGTTCTCACTATATATATGCATGCGTGTGTATGCATGTATATTGAAATATAAAAGATAAATAAATAAAAGATAGATAAAATAGATAAATAATTTTAACTGTTAAATAAATATTCATTAATTCAATAATTGACAATAATTATTTTAATGATTAATTGAGATTGTTAATTTGTATTAGTTTAATTATTAATATGTAATATTTGTTTCTTATGCTTCATGACCTTTTAAATCAATTAAAATATCAATTGTTATATTTTTAATGATCATGACAATGAATCTGTTTCATGATTTTATAATTGATTTATGATATCGATATATGCGATATGCATATATACATACATATGTATATACATATATATACATATATATGCATACTAGATGTTAATAAAGAGAAAAAATTAAGAATAAAAATAAAGAAACAAAGAATGAAAACGAATAATAAATAAATAAGTAATAATCTATTTATGTAACTATACATAAATATGTATATCGTTATCGATCAAGAATTCACTCACCGATAAATAGTAGGTAGCGGATAGTAGTCATCGTCCTCCATACTACTATTTGTATTCGCATTGTTATTCGTATCATTTCCTGCCGTGGATGCATTGCCAAGGTTACATAACATTAAACGAGACATTTCTTTATATCTTCAATATATTTGTATACGCATACACACACGTATACGTACGATGTAAACGGAAAATTTTTGAAGAGAATAAAAATTGCAAAAACGCGAAGATGAAAGATTTAATTGAGAATGATTTAATCAAACAATTTCGATTCAATTCAAATCTGATTTCGCTTATTTTTTCGAATTTGGAGATAAATATTATAAAATATCATTTCATAAATTCTATATTCATATTTGTTAACAAATCAATAAAATTCGTGAATCAATTTCTTGATTCTAATTCTAATCTTAGTCCGGCGATTAAAAGTTTTATTTTCAGAAAGAAAAGTTTTCTCACACAATTGATAAAACTTAAATATTAAATATTAAAGAGATGAAATTATTGATATACGTCGAGAAGCATTATTATATCACTGAACTGAATAGAATGGAACATTGAGCGATTCAGTTCGACGAGTCAATCTGTATTTTCGAATTACGATATATATATGTACATATATATATATATATATCGTATCGTATATATATATCGCATTTATCGTGCGTTATGTAGGCACTAGTTTTTCTTTACTTTTAAAAAAATATTTAGGCACCACAGTAAAGAACATAAGTATATAGATATTGTTCGCGATTAATTTCATATGTGATATTGCAACATTTTGTAAAATGTCTTTCTGGTTCGATCACAATGTTGGTCAAACACTATAACACAATGAATATTTTGTTTTAAAAGATAGACGTCGTTACCTAAAAACGAACGATGGTCGATATAAGTATCGATATGTAGTATAATTGCTGGCGTGAGAAATAGGGCACAATAGTTATTAACCCCAAATTGGATATTAACAATGTCACTAAAAATCCATTTATAGATTATTCTCTGGTCCAACTGGTAACTTTGAAAAATCCAACAGATATAATTTTATAGAAAAAAATTTAACGATCTTAATCTTAATTTTTATAATAGTGATATTTTAAATTCTGGTTCCATTTTTTCTTTTTTTTCTATATTTCTATTTAGAATTCCAATTCCAACTTTTTATCACTCTTAAATTTCAATCTTGATTTTGATATCGATCTAATTATTTATCCGATTTATAATTATGAAATATATGACAATTTCAAATCAATTCTCATTGCTATTCGCAGTATAAATATAAATATTCTTCATAAAAATATTCGATGCGAATAATTATCTTTGTGATTCTTCGTTTTAATTGTTGTTTCAAATCGTACTTGCCTTTCACGATGTGTCTATCAAAATACCATTTTCTTAACGATTGCTCTTGTGTAACAATTTATGAAGATATAGATGACATATTTCTTGAAGAATAATAAAAAGAGAAAAATGTCAAAAAAATAAAAACACCGAAACGTAGAACAAAAAAATTTATGAAAATATTAGGATCCTATTGTAGAGACGGCGAGTGTTATGCCTCCTACGTGGTAAGCAACACTGCACAACTTCGATATACTGCGACTCCCTCCTTTACAGCAGCTACGAGGTACGAGCGTGCGTGCCTTTGCGTCTGTTTCGCTACGGGCATCTTCGAGACTATAATGCGCGCGTGCGCATTCGTGTACCGATTGCGCATCACTCGTGGCTTGTGCATCACGCCATGTTATCCCTACCGTTCTTCCTCGATTTCTAACAGGGAGTTGCGGTTGTTTTCAGAGCGCATGACGTTACCGTCGTCGCATTCAATGCATTCAGCGCATTCGCCGCATTTGCCGCATCGAGCCTCTCTTGGAATTATATCTCTCACTCGCTTACCATTTGTCCCATATCTCACTCATTTAATTCCTTATTATATTTTTATTCAGCTTTTCCGACTTTGATTTCGCGCAGAATATAATTGATTCTTTGTCATCTTTCTTTTTATTTTTTTTTGCTTATTAGTTCGCTTATTCACTCAAAATTTAATGTTTCATCAATAAATTCTTATTCAATATAAATATATTTTAATCATCTTATGTTTTAGTTATGTAAATATACATAATATACAACAAATTTATTCTAAAACTTTACTAAATATATAACATACAAATGTATAGAAATATATAACAAATCTAAATATATGTAAAATACATATTTAAAATTCATAATTGTGAACATTAATGATATAAGGATTTATTGCTAGAAATTGTAACAATAATCTTTGCGATACCGCATTGCGGATTTAGCGTGGTAGCGTGCAATCCCTTTGAATAGTTTACAGTCATGTTGTTCGATCTACCAACTTAATACGCGCTCGACTTGTTGTTTAAAACAGGAGGATATCAAAGATTCATTTCTTAATATATTTCATTTTTTGTTACGTTTGTTTAACATGTGCTATATCTGACGATTATATTTAAATATAAAGAACATTAATTTACTGCAAAAATTTATCAAATCCATGCACTATAAAGATTTTAATTTTCTATATGTTTATTATATTAAAACATGTCGAAATGCTAAGATAGGCAAATGTATACTTAAAATTTATCTGTATTTTATTCAAAAAAATAAAAATGCTTTTCAAATCATTTCAATCTTCCAAAAGCATAAGACAATTATTTATTTACTTACTTATCAAAATTCCACAACGTGTTCCGACGTGTTTCTGTTCCTTGTTGAAACGAATCTGCGCCGCATAACAGTCGTGTGCTTTTCTCAATTCACAGATCGACTCTTTTGTTGAAATCGTGCCAAAGATTTCGGAAATATTGATTACAATTTCCAACTCATAACCATATTGCAATTGTGTAATTTTTTATTTTTTTAATTTTATTTATCAATAGAATTTTCGAGTTATTGACATTTTTTTAAAATAAAAATCGCAATAGGATTCAAGCGAAATAATCGATTATTTTTTTTTTAATAACTTATTACAGTACTTTATTAAACACTTGTTAAGTTCTTAAAGATTACCTAAATATACATTCTGCGACGAATTTCAGTACACGTCAATTTTATTTTATCAAACAACCTTGATATCAGTTCGATATGTAATTATCTTTCGTAATTTTCTTAATCCGATAATCAATTATCATGGTGTTTCGCAACGATAACCGATTATCGAAATTTTATTTAATTACTCATACTTAATAACATACGTATCTATATTTAATGCTTGATGTACATATGTATTGTATTCTCGAAATGAAATGTAAAAGCGGCAGTCTTTTCTACGCTATCGTATATCGTATTGCATATGTATATTTACATATGATGTTTAGTACAATATACTTAATATATATATGTATTATATTTTTATTGACACATTATTCTTTGTTTCTTTATCATATTTTGCTATATTTTTTTATAATTAAATTTTTTTATCGAAATTTAAAATAGAATTATAATCTTATTTTATTTAATATTTTTAATAATATTATTATTATATTATAATCTTGTTTTTTCTAAATTCAATTATATATAATTATTTTCAATATATATAATTATATATAATTATATCCAATTATATATAATTACTTTTCACTGTTATGAATATATGAATATATCTTACTCTTCGAAATATATACGCACAAGTGACAAACTTTTATTTATTTATTTACCAAAAAATGAAATTTCCTTCTTTTCTTTTTTCCATTTACATTTGATATTTTCTAATTGCGATAAAAATTAATATTATTCACAATAAATCAAATATCTAAACGATAGCGCAAGAGAAAGAATTTGAGAAATGAAGATGATAAAAATGCTTGTTATATTTTGATCATAATGAAAAACGGATAAAATATGAAAACCGAATGATAATGATTATGAATAAAAAACGAAAGAAAAACAAAAAAAAGTGCAAAAAAGACAAAAAATTGATGGAAATGAAACTATGAATTTAAAAGATAAAAGATATGTATAATTGGTTACCGATTATAAAAGAAAGAATATGATATGGAATAGTGAAGCCTCGAAGTAAAAGGCTCTCTCCTTGAGAAATGAGACGGGAGAAGAAATAGTTTTATATAATGTAAAACAGCATTCTTCAATTCACAATGTTGTTCGTAAGTTCAAGAGAACGTACGAAAATCAACTAAACCGTATCAAATATCATTAAGCAAGTCTACTTTTGATTTCAGATCATTTGACCGTCCTCTGGCACGTGGGTAAATTTACCCTGAAGAATACATTGAGTTCTATCAATGAGGCTAATATGAGGAACACAGCATACATACATAAACAAGCTCGGCCGACTTTTCTATCGAGCTGAAACTTATTTGAAGCGAAAGCGATGTAAAGTAACATTAATGTCGATAACAACGAAATAGCACTGTATTCAAGACCACCAGAATTTATACTGATATAATGTTTTCCTGGTTGTGTTGGTGAAAATGAAGATTTGATTAACCATGGTAAACCCAAACACAATAATATATCGAAAGTATTCGATCCTATCGAGTTGCTAATACCCATTGAACCATGTCCTGAAACAAAATAAATGGAAAAAATTTAATGTAAGAAGTTTCATTATTTTTATATATATTTAAATATATTATATATATTTTATATATATTTATATATATTATATATATATATTTTTTTGATATTATTATAAAATACTAATAATGAATTATCTTTTTCTCATATTTGCACATATTTTCTTTACCTTGTTTTGCTACTATTACACTTGATACAGCCTCTGGTACGCTAGTACCGGCAGCGAGAAAAGTAATACCCATAACGGAATCTGGTATTTTTAGAGTGTCTCCTGAAACAAAAATTATAATTTTTTTTTCTTGCATTTTTTTTCTTTTAGCTTTTTTTTAATTCAAAAAAATTAATTCTTTTTTTTGTTTTTTTTTATTTGGTATCACTTTTTTTATTACCAATTATAGTGATCATCCATGCAACCACATAACTTAAGGATCCAATCCAAATAATGCACATAAGAAATGTTATCGGAAACCAATTCTTGAATCGTGGTTTTTCGCAATCTGGTATTGTACACATAAAAATCAAATGAATCGGCCAAGTCATAATCCATGCTGTTTTTCTTATCCATCCAGCTCTTGCTGGCCATACCAATAATTCGTATTCATAATCTGAAATAAAAGAATAAAAGAATGCAATTATTTTATTTTTTCTTTCTTTTTTCTTTTTCCTATTTTAACCTCATCTTCGATTTTTTTTATTTTTCTTTTGTATTCTTTCATTTTCATTTCCCTTTCGTTTCCCTCTTCCTTCTTATGCTATTATTCATTTTTTCTTCTCAAAAGGCAACATTGAAAAAATTTAAATATTATATATAACAACTTTGTTTAAATTAAGAAATAGTAAATTTTTACAATTAAATTTCTATTATACTTACTAGGATCAGGATTTTCTTCTTGTGTTTTTGTACCTCCATTTTGTAATGGTACATCTATATGTTCGACTTGTTCACCAGTCTGTAATTTGTCAGATCTAGCCATGTGAATTTCTGTACTGTCTTCTAGAAAGCACATTATATTGTATACTTTCTATAGTATTGAAATGAAAAAGTGAAAGGAAAATTGTAATTCGATAAAGTATCGATAAAATTCGATAAATATATAATATATATATGTACACAAGTGTTAATATATTCGTAGAATACTTTTGAAGAATCGATTTTAGAGATAAAAATAAGAATAAAAGATGTTACATAAAATGTCAGTTAAAGTTTATTTATTAAGTTATAAATAATTTAAATTTGTATTAGATAAAAGCGAAGTAAAGATAGATTAAAATCAAAATGTAAGAGATAGAATTGTATTATTCTATCTTGTATCATCTAACGAAAATTTTAATTGCTTAAAAACTTAATAAATAAACTTCAACCGATATTTTTATATATTAACTTTTGTATTTATTTTTATCGATCTTTAATTCTTTCTAATATATTAATATCTTATATTTATATATATACATATATCTTATATACATTCTATATATATAAAGATATATATAAATAACATATATACTATATATTTATGAATTTATATTTATAAAATACATATACATATAATATATGTATATGCGTATACATATATATTAAAATAAAATAATCGATTCTAAGATTAAAACATTATTAATAATATGATTCTCTATTAATACTTAAATTTATTCGAAGAAAATATTTATCATTTAAAATTTATTTGCTTTGTTGCGTTTCAAAAACAATACAACTCTTACCTGTCGCATGTCGATGATCATCTGAGGATCGGTCAGCGTTATGCGTACGAAATCGTGTGCATCGCTGGAACGATTTATCCCAATACATAACAGCGATGTATACGATGTACAATAATACTAGCGTTAATGCTTCGTACCATTCTACTCGCTCATCGTGTATAATACATATTAGAATAGCGACTGTAACACCATAGGCAAGACAATCTCTACTAACTGGCCACCAGTCTAGAGGAACTACCTGTATATATTTAATTAATATATATAATATCTATAATTTTACTTATATAATATAATACATATATATGCTGTATTAATATTAAACTTATTTTAATTAAATAATAAAATTTCATGGGATGATTTGTTATTGTTCAGATTATTAGGAACTTACCATACCAGCACCAATACCACAACAAGCTGGTACTGCGAGGATATTGAATACAGCCGAGCCTACTATTGTTCCGACACCGATGTCACCTTCGGTGATAAATGTACCGATTGCATTTACGAACAGTTCCGGTGCCGACGTTGCTGCAGCCATAAAAGTAGCACCTGCTACGTCCTTGGACATCGAAAGTGCTGAAATTGAAATTTCAAAGCATTGAAAAATTTGAATTATTCGTTATTTGTTTATCTAATAAACAGCTTAGATTGAATAATTGCAATTGTTCTTACCGTGACATATCTTTTCTACAGCGGGAACAAAAAACTTGTCGCAAACTACTGCTAACGCGATAAACAGGTAAAGCGAAACGATTACGTGCACTACGACAGCTCCTCCTTGCCTTTGCTTCTCATCGAAAAGATCGTGTGGAAAGTCTTCTATTGCTGCAGGTGTACAATTTGTACCTAAAATATGAAAAATTTTTAACATTTATGTATATACATATACCATTAAAACTAAATTAAATGAATAGCTGTGAATCGAAAAAATAAATATCTAATTCCAATCAATCAAAATCATTACCAATTAATAATAATTCATCATGAATTACTAATTTTTTTATTTTTCTTAGTTTCTGTTTCTCATCAATTTTTGTTCTACTTTTCATTTATTTTTTTCTTTACTGTATCGAAGAAGGAGAATATAAAATATCGCAAGAAAGAGAAGGATGGTGGATAAAATTCTTGCATATCACATATTTTATTTTTTAAGATTATCTATTATATTTCGCTTGATTGATTCATTCAATTACTTAATAAATTTTTGTCATTCAAGAAAACGTTTTATTGGACGCTTTATTGCAATATCAAATAAAATTTAAAAGTTATTCTCGATAAATCGATATTGTTTGTCTATATTCTATCTGTATACAATTTTGGTTAAATCTATTACATAAGTTTCAAAACCTTGCATACTTTGTATACATATAACACACTTGGATACAATATCAAGTATTCGTTCTGTGATTATGAATTTATATAATTAGTTGCATTCGCTTTAATAAAATTATAAAGATCAAATATATAATCAGTTCATCGATCTTTATTGTTTTTCTATTGAATTTATTTCTTAAAAAATTTTTATTCCGAGAAATAGAAATTATTATGATGTAACGATTATAATGATAATAATCGTATGTAACAAAAATAAACAATTGCCACGTTTATTGAATACAAAATATATTGTATATATAGTAAAATAAATATACATATGTAATGTAATTTTGTATCATTGCAAATTATTCTTATAAATCTTCGATTTTTTTTTAATTTTTATCTTATTTTAATTCATTTCGAAACGAGATAATAACTTAAATAAATAAATAAATAAAATAAAGAATACGATGTATCTTATAATTATATATATAATAATAGAATATATACTATCTTACATATTTCTCTATTATTATATTTTATAATATTGAAATATTACATAAAACAAAACTAATAAAAATATATAGAACTCAAATCATCACTCATGTCAAAATTTACCAAGCGTTTGCTTCTTGGCTACACGAAGAATTCAATGAAAATTATTTTCATCCATATTTATAGGTATCTAATTCTCAACATATATGTATATATTGCAAATATGTGTAAACTTATATATAAATATATGTATGTATATAAAATTATAGAGATTATATATAGATTTTGCATAGATTCTATTAATTATATAAGAATTTTAGATAATACATAATTATAATATATAATAATATGTAATTAATAAAGCGATTGAAAAAATGGAATATATGAACATAAACATGATTTGTATTTTTACTGGTAATAATAAAAAAATCATTTAATATGGTAAACAAATCAATGAACATTGTATTATGTCCAAATTATGTCCAAATAAATATTTTCAGAATCTTTTATTTTAATTGTATTTTAATTGTAAGAAATTAGTTGCATTTAAATTCCATGTTTTCATTAAATTTTTTCTTTTAAGAGATATTAATATCAACTGCTTGTTAATCGTTGTTAACTAAAGTCATTGTAAGTACATTCTTTTGATAGATTTCGTATATTGAAACTTATATATATTCAAAAGTCACATAAAAGATAATATAAGATATTAAGATATTTATATAATAATCTTTTTAAAATAAAACTGTCAAATTATATATTATTGTTTCTTCAATTGTATTGGTTTTTATCATCTTTATTAATTTATTAAATTAAATTAAAAATAATATAAAAATTTAATTAATGTATAACTATGTATAGCTATCTATCATAATTATTAAAAATTAGATTTGACTCGAAAAATAATATTCCATAATTGGTGTATATACGTGAAAGACCTTGTTTCTTCACCTTCGTTCTTAGATCTTAGTAATTCTTCTCCTATGACTTCTTACAGCCGATGTAATGAAGAAAATGATGCACGTATTGGTGTCTTGTACAGGTTACACAGCTGTATAGTTGATGTGACTTCCTACCGATTAAGCAACCTAAAGAAGTTAAATTGCTCTCATTCAAGTTGGCAGAGGAGATGCCATTCATGTCTAATGTACGTCGTATAAACTAGACGTGGCTTGACCATTCGGTGTCGAACCATTTTGTCTCATTGGAAACAAACGATGATCATCGACTCGATCATCAATCATTAAACGTTGATTCTCAATCAACAATCTTTTGATTTTTCTTTGAATAGAGCATACTTCTTTTAAAAGATATTAAAGTTTTGTTATATATTGTGTGTTTTTATTATTAATAAAGTTTATCATGTATGATGCGATATAATAGCGTATTTAATTTATCTCTCTTTGCCTTTCTGTAATTAATGTTTTTTTATTATTATTTATTCAATATTATATATGCACTTTTATTTCTTCATTTTTGAATATTTGCATTTCAACTATTTGATATATATTTCTTTCAATGTATTTATTTATAAATCATTTAAAGAGAGGAAAAAGAATTTTTATTACAAAAATTTTATTGAATTCTAAATATTAACATTTAAAATTTCTTGAATTCTGAATTTTAGAGCATTATGAATGTCGCTCATTTTTTCGAATTCATTTCTTTATTCATTTCCTCTTGAATATGCTCTTAAAAATTGTAATACTAACATTATACATGATTATACATGTATTTTAACAAAAAACATATTTAAATGAAAAAATAATAACAATTAATGAAAATACAAAAATCATATGTAGAACATGCAAATATTATATATATCCATGTTAAAGCAAATTATATTATGACACAAATAAATCAAGTTTTTTAATGTATCATTAGAACACACTTAAAGAAATGATTTATTAAGTTATTGTACGAAAGAATTTTAAAAAATTTATATTTTTATATATAATACACATATATAAAAATGTCATGCAATATAAAAAATGAAATATAAAATTAAAGTTAAATTAATAAAAAGAATAGTAAAGTAAAGAACAGTAAAAAAAGAGTTAAAGAGAAGAATATAAGAAAAAAAAGAAAGAGAAAGAGAAAAAGAAAGCGGGGATATGGGCAAAGAACAAGATTGCTCGCCAATTAAATCGCTTTGTAAATTTTTGAATATGTCTATAGCATGTCACGATTTTCTTGTCAAAATAATGATCACAAAAGAAAAATAATGAATATAATTTAATTTATAAGAATAAATATTTTACTTTACGCGATACTATGCTTTGATAAATCTTCTATATAAAATTATTTTCAATCAACGTATATTGCTCTGTTTTTACTTCTTTATAATAATCATTAAAAACTAAATCACAAGTATTATTGCACAATATGCAGCACCGCACGACACATCTGTAGATAGAAAAATTAATTTAATTTAAAATGCACTCTTTGCAATGTTTCTCTAGATTTCTTTCTTGCATTGTCATTGGTTTTCTTCCTGTTTCTTTCTTCTTCTCTGCCTCATTTTCCACCCCATACTTATCCTCTTTCATCTCGCTTTTCCTTATGATGCATATTCTTCTACTCTTTCCTCTGTTGTTATTGCTGCTGCTAATGCTGATGCTAACCATCCTGCTGTCCCTCCTCCTTCTTTTTCTCCTCCTTCTCCTCGTCTTCCTCCACCTCCTTCTGCTCCTTCTCTTCCTACGACTCCTCCACCTTGTTCGATACTTTAATTTCAATTCTTTAATATTATTCCATTCTATTTTTCACCATCAATGAAGCACAACCCATCACTCTAATTATCTTTATATTAATCAAATTTATCGTACCATAAAAAAACATTTTTTTTGCAATAATATTCAAAATATATTTTAACGAACCTCCTCCTAAGTCAGACGTATCCATGTTGTCAATCCCGTTGTCACACATATACTACATTAACAACTACTCCGAAGTCCGGCAGCGTTTGTTAGAATCGCCCCTCCCTCTAACTCTTCTCATCTCTCGCGCATCGCGCCCGCTGAATCGTGCCGCGGTCAAAATGCGAAATTGTCATTACACTAATCGTCGTTATAGCTTCCTTGAAAATTGAACGTCGTATCGTATATGTTATATTCTATTCCGACAATCAACTATTTTGCTTTACTTAATTCTTTCAATTTTCTTTTCAATTGTTTTAATAACCATCAATTTCTTTTTATTTGATTATTTTCAAAGAAACATATAATAATATAATAAATAATATATACAAATGTTACTATAAGATATATAATATGACGAATAAAAAAAATAATAAATTATAGAAATAGAAGAAAAAATTTAAAATTATTTATTATTTATAATTAGAAGAAATAACTCTGTTGTGAAATAACAAACAAATAAACAATTTAAAAAAATAATAGGTATTGTCATTTTTGTATTCTATATATAGAATAAAATTATGTATATATAAATTATATATATATATAATAATAAAAAATTATAAATACATTTGTTATAATTATATAAATATAAATAATATATAAATATATAAATAATAAATATATAAATAATTAGTTATAATTTGATTAAAAAATATAATAGTTTAATCGATGGAAATATACGTGCATGCATGCGTATGTATGAAAGAGAGAGAAGAAAAAGAAATAAATTAATTTTTATTTCTTTTTTTCAAAGAGGGAATATTATTTTAATATCGAAATATGCATAAGTATATAATGCTAATATATAAATAAAAATAAATATAGTTTTTTATATAATTAATAATTATATATTATAAAATAAATGATAATGAAAATAATACATATAAAATTTATAATATATGATATTAAAATAGAATAGACATAATCAATATATTATGATAAATAGATATTTAATTAATAGATAATTAAAGATTTCCATTAGAAGGAACATTTCTATTGTTGGATTATCAGTAAAGGGATGTCTTTATAAGCTCTGTGTAATATCTTATCTGTGTAAAGTTAAAACCGATAATGCTAGTAAACGAAAATCATCGATGCGATTTGACTTAGCGAATCAAAATTAGTATCATACCGAACGGCAAATTACATCTTTGATTCGATCAAAGGAAAATTTTTTCTAATTAATTAATTAAAATAATTAGGATTTTACGATGATAAAAAAACACAGACAAATGATAGGTTACAAAATATATTACATGATTATTATTCCAACAATATATTTAATTTTCATAAATATTTTATCAATATTTTTCCTAAATAATATAAGTGCGAATAATCCTACGGATATACGTAAGTTTTGTTTTCTTAATTCTTCATTTTTTTAATTGTTTTTCTCTTTTCTCTTCTTTTATATGTTTTATATATAGGAAATATATTATATCACTTGTCATTGCATTTGTTATTTTAATTAAATTTCTCCCTTATTGCTATAACTATTAGTTATGTCTATTTACAAAGTAAACGAACGTCTAATAACAAAGATAGGTAATAAAGAGCAATTATGTAGACATTCGATGATTACAATGTGTGCATGTATATATATAGATTCATGCGGTTACATTGAACAAAAAAGATGGAAGTGATATAGATATTAAAATTCAGAATGAATCATTACGTAATACGTTTTACACATATAATATTTTACATATATATATATATATATATTATATATATGTGTAATATATATTATTATATATTATATATATGTGTGTATGTGTGCGTCATAAGATAGACTAATATATAAATAATATATAAATTAATATATAATATATAAATAATAATATATAAATAATATATAAATATATTTTGTAGAATTTTAAGAAAAATTTATATATTATTTAATCAAAAATAGTATGATTTAAACATTCTATTCTAATACATAAATATTTCTTTCTTCTTTTATTTTTATTATATTTTATTGTATCAAAAAATGTCATAAAGTTCTTTTTTAATAATTTATATTTCATTATTATTATTATATTAAATTTAAATCATATTATATAATATTTATTATTAGAAAGACGTATATACTATTTTTTTTTAAGAATTTCGAAAATTATTACAAATTGGATTAACTACTATTGAACCTGGAAAAAACAGAGTAGACAATTGTACTCCTCCAGCGATCAAAGAATTTCCATCTGATGGCCTTACTCGAGAACAAAGACAATTAGGATTTATATTGATACATTTTGTAATAGCAATTTATATGTTTCTGTTACTTGCTATTGTTTGTGATGATTTTTTTGTGCCATCAATTAAAAAAATTTGCGATAGTAAGTAACATATAACTCTTATTTCAAAAAAAAAAAAAGAAAAAAAAATGAAATTTTTAAAATTTTAATTGTCAAAATAGAAGAAAAATTACAAAAGAAATATTTTTAAAATCATTATGTATATTTGATTTTTAGAGATTAACGTTTCAGAAGATGTCGCAGGAGCGACAATTATGGCAACAGCTAGTTCTAGTCCGGAACTATTCATTAATATTGTAGGTACTTTTATTACAGAGGGAGATTTAGGTGTTGGTACGATTGTTGGTTCTGCAGTTTTCAATATATTAGCGGTACCTGCATGTTGTGGTTTATTTGCAAATCAGGTATAATTTTTTTTTATTTATCAATAAATGAAATGCTATTGATAATATGTGGAATGAAAAAAATATATATATATGTAAAGAATGAAAAAAATATATATATATATATTTTTTTTCAAAGATGAAATATTATTTTAATATGCATAAGTATATAATGTTAGTATATAAGTAAAGATAAATATAGTTTCACCTTTTTATATAAATATATGTATAAAGAAATAACGATTGAAAAAAATAAAAGAAATAATTAAAGTAAATTTCTTTGCAGATATTGAACTTGGAAGCATGGCCTGTAACGCGAGATACCATTGCATATGCAATTACTGTCCTTTTATTAATTTTGACTTTACGAGATGGTCGTATTGAATGGTACGAAGCATTGATTCTTGTTCTCTCATATTTCTTATATATTTTAGGTAAGTTTATGATATATGTATATATTATTAAATTGATTCTTCATTATTTTTTTTTATTTTTTTTATAAAATTATATAAAGTAGAAAATTATATAGTAGAAAAATATGCTAAAAATTCAAATAGTTTTAAGATTCTAATATTAATATAATGATATAAACTTTTTCCTAATATAATTTAATATAATAATTTA